AAATTTTGAATGCAGCTGTGTCAATGATAGGCGAAGGGGAATCCGTGAACAAATTTTGTACTTAATGTACTAAAAAGTATTATATTACAATGGAACAATTAAGAGTAGATATCTGAACCATTGTATGTAACTTAAGCTATTACAAATAGAACGATGGGCAAAAATATCTTTTGGAAATGAATACTAATGTACTAACAAGTTTTGAATATTATATTACAATAGAACCGATAGAGATAGGAATTAGCTTTTACTATTACAAATTAGTACTTATGAGGTGATAAAAAGTACTGAATAAAAAATACAATGGAACCGTTAGAAATAGAAATCTGAAACGTGGTACGTTGATTTGACTATTACAAATACTTCGCTGTGCATAATTTTTTGAAATTAGTACTAAAATGGTACTAAATATTAAAGGACAACTGAAACATAGTATGTTACTTAATTATTTCACATATAAGTACAAAATTCTGTACCATTGTTACAAACTAATAAATGTTAGTATGGAAACTACTAAAAATTTTACATGGGTATTGAGCGATTAGAAGTGGTAAAATAAATAAATAAATAAAAGTATACAAGTACTAAATATTGGGTACGGTATAACGGATAAAGATAGAAACTCTTATTAAATACTTATCTGGAACTATAATATTAAAATGTACTAAAAAGCCCAACATATTGTATACGGCGGTACGGGTGGATATAGAATTTGGTACAAGGATTTTTCTATTAAAAATAATGTAAACAACTAAATATTGTATACGACAGAAGTAGTAGAGGTAGAGTCCAGAAATTGTGTATGTATATTTAGCTATAACAAATTAAAAAATGTATTTTTTGTTTTTTTGAAAATTCGTACTAAAAATTACTAAATATGAAAGTTTAGAAAAAGATATCTGAATTTTAGTATTTATCTTTGACTGTGGCAATTAAAATGTTTTATGGAAATATTTTTCGAAGACTTTTACTAAAAATTACTGCGAGTTACATGAAATATAGTTTCCAATTTGACATGGATCTATACTACAACGAATGATTATGTATTTTGGTTCAAACGTCCGATGTAGTGAAAAACGGACGAGACTTCATATACAAATAAGTGAAACTATGCAAACAAGCCGCTAAACACCACAAGTACTAAATTGTTGGCACGTGTAAACAAAAATGTTTTTAAAACTTCTACTTAAAAGTACAGATATTTATTTCAATGAGTTTTCTAACCACACTGGACTTCCGATGTTATGAATAATGGGCGGGATCTTTATGTCGAGGATATAAAAAAATATCGAAAATTTTTCCAATGGGGATTTTGTAACAAGTAACATACAAAAATTTTCCATAATATGATGCGCTTTGCTGAATATTATATTAGAAATTCGTACTATAAGGGTACACAAGTACTAAAACGTACCACACATTTTACCATTAGCATTTAATTACCGAAAGAAGCAAAAAAGTTAAAAAACGTACTATTTGCATTAGTCCATCGGGAGGATCGAGAAAATCATACACTTTCAGAAAAATAAATATAAGAAAGTTGTACTCGATTTATTAGGTTAAGTAGATTTACGCATCAACGTTTCGGTTCGAAAGAATCTGAGTAGGATCTAATATTTTATTTGAAATATTTCAAATTTATATTTAGTCCAAAAGTAAAGCTAAATTAACGCTTTTTTATTTTAACTATAAAAAATCCGCTAACGACGTAGCGGGCATATGCTAGTAATATCTAAATTTAATGAAGGCACCTTCGGGAAAAAAAACTCCTTGAACAAAAATATTTTATAATTCCAATAATGTGAGGCTACCCTTCCCCAGCTTTAGTACAGTGGCGTCCGATGTTGACAACTCTGCGGAGAAGAGAAAGCATACATTTTTGTGACATATTATACAGGTTCTCGGCCCAGAACCCGTATTTGCATAGAAGAGTTCGTAATTTATATGGCTTAATCCAGAGACCTTATTTTTAATTGTCCAAGGTTTCTGGATCAGTGCGATGTGTATTTTACCTTTTATTATTAGTCCTGATTTAGATAGGACTTATTTTTACATCTGGGCCAGGGTTGCCGTCTAGCTCCGATGGAGGTTTATCTGGATTATTGCTATCAGTTGTAACCGGTTTTCTTGGGAGTCCATGATCTTTTCCCCTCGCTGTTATCTTTGGCTTCATCGACTCCAATCCTTGCCTTGCCGATTTTGAAGTACATAGCGTTGGACACGTAATGCGCCTTGCCATTGGTCTTAGCCAGACTTGCCATTGAAGACCTGTCCACGCCTAACACAAGGAGACTCCCTTCCTCGTTCTCCTCCCTGTGGAAGACTTCACATGCAGTGTCTTGTTTTGTAGGCTCTTTGTTGCTGGGTGTTTTTCTCTCGCTTTGGCTTCATCGTCTCCAATCCTTGCCTTGCCGATTTTGAAGTACATGGCGTTGGACACGTAATGCGCCTTGCCCTTGGTCTTAGCCTGCATTGCCATTGAAGACCTGTCCACGCCTAACACAAGGAGAGTCCCTTCCTCGTTCTCCTCCCTGTGGAAGACTTTACATTTCTTCATATGCAGCGTCTTGTTTTGTAGGCTGAAGACATTGATCATGCGTTTCGTGTCGAAATCGCTGCCACAAACCAAAGACTGTAGCCTTTTGTAGTTGAGGAATGCCTTTTTTTCTCAACAGCTTAAGTTTCATTGTTCCATCTATGGGTCCAATGTTTGCCACTAGCTTCCTCAAGGCTTCTATGCTTTTTGGTGTTTCAAATTCCAGCATTAGATAGTCCCACTTGAATGCGCAGGTATCCAGGTCAATGGAGACCCCTCCTTGTTGTAGGTGTTCCATAATCTTGCTGTTGACCGCATTTAACACCTCCTTATGGGTCTCCTTATTTAGCTTACCGGACGCCCCGTCGACCGCGGCATAGCAGAGCTCGTCTCGATAGCATTTCCTCGCAACCTTGGCATAAGACGGCGGCTCATTATCATCTGTTGCTGTCATCTCCCTCTTTCGTAAATACCGGTTGGTCCTTTTGGGATTCCCGGTCTTTGCGGAAGATTCCGACTCAGCAGAGCCAGCTTCGTCTGCTTTCGTCAGTGGATTCTCGTTGCAGTCTCCTATGACATTGGTTTGACTGACTCAGCTTACTCACCTCTACTATCATCATGTCAGCCTCTTCTCTCTTGCGGCTCTTGCAGACGGTTATATTTGTCTGATTATCATGTTCAGTTTCAGAATTTGAAGTTGAGTCTCTCTCTCTCCCTATTGTCTCTGAAGGCTGGGTCGAGATTGCTCTTCCCCTGTGGTTCCTCAACTCCGAATCGGTGTTGCTCGATGGCTGAGTGCTTGTAGCCGTACATTCGACTACAGATGCCAAGACACCCTCATCTGTAAGAGATTGTTGCTCTCGATCGCGGGATGACAACAGGGCGTGACTCGTGGACAGATACTGAGTTATTTAGGCTCTGCTTCCGTTCCTTATCTTGACACTGCTGCTTAACATTTCATATCATTGAGCCATCAATTTTTCATTCATTCATTGCAAAGACTTCGACCCTCTTCGAATTTGTCTACAATTGTTTCCGATATTTCATTGTCGAACGGAAGATGAAGTGATGGCAGGTAAATGTTTTAATTTCCCAGTTTCTGTACTTCTGTGTCCGATGCTAAAATAAAAATAAGTTTTAACGGTTTTATCCGGAGACCTTCATTTTATCAAACTAAGATTATAGAATTATCCCGATATGTAGTATATAACATTTGATTGTTCTTCCGAAGGAGGCTCTTCTGGATGGCCTCAGTCGGCGATGGTGTTTCTTCATCGTTACAATTAGTTTAATTTGTTCCCGATAGGAGATAATGCTTCTTATCAGCTTCGTGAGAACTTGACTATCGTTGACGAATCGTATAACATTTGTATATGATAGGATCCACCATACCCGTTTTTTCCGTTTTGGCAATAGAGGCAACTTTGTCACTCTCTGGTTATGGGTTTGTGAGACAGCCTCTTTTGACTTAGAGTTGCAAACAAAAATCAGGAAGTTTTTTTTTTTTGGAATTAATACTTTTCTTCGCATCCGAAGAAGTTGACCAACTATCATTCGCCTGCGGTTCTTTCCTGCTAATCTAATGTTCGCCTTTGAGCCGGAGTAAGATGCCCCTTAGCAATATTCTTTCTCACTTCTTCTACCATCTTGTCTGACACTCTATCCGACATTCCAAGACAAGATCCTGAAAATGATACAGCTACATATCAGGAAACTGCTTTGGATCAATATTGGACGATAGGGTCAAATGTTATTAAAACGGAAATACACCGAAATGGAGATTCCGTAATCTATCTAGCAGCATTTTTGGTCGTGACCTTGGATATATTCTACTTCTAGCATATTTTGCTCATTCGGTATTCCAATTTGAGTTTGGGTCTCCGCCTGTGTCTTTTCCCTATATAAACCCTTAATCTATGAAATACCTCGATTACAACTCTGATAGTCCCCAGGAAATTGTATGAAAATTCATGCTTACAATTTTTAGGTAATTCTAGTTAGTTCTATTATCTGATAGTCCATTAAATTCATGCTTTGATAAACAAATTGCAACTCCAAATGTACTCAAATTTGAATTCTTTTTTAAATTCTGCATTTATTTGTAAACCTTGAGAACATATTCAACCTAATAACTTGTTAAATAACGGAAATATATATTGAAGCCTTCTAACATCGTATGTGCTTGCCCATCTCTTATATGTATCTCTTTGTTCCAATATATAATGAGTTCTTTACTAATTTTCTTTTTTTTTTCTTACAGAATTCTAGCGTAAATATGAATATATCCATTGTCGTGCGTAGCAGTGTGGCTTAATTTGGACTGCTGGCAAGAGGCAGACAGCAGAGACCTCCATACACAAAGAACACCACATCTCACCGTATTCTCCCTCTCACAACCTCATTCACGTTGCTTTTCATTGCAATTAATTATTGAGACATCACCAGAAACAGAAAAAAGAAAAAAAAAAATATTCGCCAAAATGTTTCGTTCATCGGCTGGCGAAAAGACTCAGTCCCAAGCGACAACACCAGATTTAGATGACTCCATTAGTTTTTCGGACGATGCTAATCCTGATGTAGATGTTGCTGATGTCGATGTTGATTCGGTAGCTACTAAAAAGCCACATTTTTTAGATTATGATGCCATACCACCACCCGATTTTATAGAACACTTTGACAGGGCCATGAATTTTGGCAATGCCAGTCAGAATTCCAATAGCACAACCGCCGTCGCCGCCACCGCCCACAACACCACCACTACGTCCACCAATCTTCCGCAAAAGACAAATAATTGCAGCGGCAGTGGGGAACAATTAAAAATGGATAAAAAATTTGAAAAGGATGGCGAAATAAGTGATTACGAATTGGCAGCTAGTGGTTACACGAAGAAGGAGTTTACCCAAGACGATAACACCCTCAATTTGAATATATCCATGCAAAGCGGTGGTAAACCACGTAAACATTTCTTGGATGAAAATCCAATACCACCCGATTACATGATTAACGAACATCAATTGCGTGAACATCGCAGTTTGGATCGAAATTTCGAAAGGCACAATGAGCAACGTTCGGCATTGGATATGCATGGTAATTTATCGGGATTTAGGTCATCCCGAGAACGTTACAAAGATATACCACCCATGTCCCGCCTGCCCAAAGGTTTGGCATGGACACAAAGTTTTGATAGTCGTTACGAGGGTGGAAATGCCTCCTCCTCGAACAAGCTGGATGATTTTGAACCAAAAGTTGAGTGTGTCTATTCTCTACTCTCGATGTTGGGCTCCAATGATCCCCTAGAAATGGCCAAGAAATTTCACGAACTCTCCAAAAATCCCGAAACTTGTAATACTTTACGTCGATCAGGTTGTATACCATTGCTGGTGCAAATAATACATGCTGATGGTGGTCCCGATGAGCCTAGAAAATGGGCTGGCATGGCGCTGCACAATGTTGTCCACTCACATCCAGATGAAAAGTGCGGACGTAGGGAAGCCAAAGTTCTCCGTTTATTGGATCAAATTATGGACTACTGTAATTTTCTGCGCACCCTTCTGCAGAGTGGTGGTGAAGCCATTGCCGATGATGCTGATCGTCATCCCTTGGCAGCCATGTCCTCGCTGATGAAGGTGAGCTTTGACGAAGAACATCGCCATGCCATGTGCGAATTGGGTGCTCTACAAGCCATTCCCAGTTTAGTGCATTTGGATCATGCTGTGCATGGTCCAAAGCCGGAAAATCAATGCTGCAATTCACTGAGACGTTTTGCCTTGATGGCCTTAACCAATCTCACATTCGGCGATGAAAACAACAAGGCCCTGCTCTGCAGTCAAAAGCTATTTATGGAAGCGCTGGTCGCTCAATTGGATTGTGCACCCGACGATTTGCTACAGGTGACGGCTAGTGTTCTGCGTAACCTCTCGTGGAGGGCTGATGCCCAGATGAAGGCGGTCCTAAATGAAATTGGGACTGTGACGGCATTGGCCAAGGCTGCCATGAAAAATAAATGTGAAAATACCCTGAAGGCCATATTATCCGCCCTGTGGAATCTATCGGCCCATTGCAGTACCAACAAGGCTGAATTTTGTGCTGTAGAAGGTGCGCTGTCGTTTATTGTGCGTATGCTAACATATGAAGGACCCAGTAAGACCTTGAAAATTATTGAAAATGCTGGTGGCATTTTAAGAAATGTTTCCTCTCACATAGCTGTCCGTGAGGATTATCGACAGATACTGAGGGAACATAATTGCCTGTCGATTTTGCTTCAGCAACTCAAATCGGAAAGTTTGACGGTGGTAAGCAATTCGTGTGGTACTCTCTGGAATTTATCGGCTCGATGTCCCGAGGATCAACGATTTCTTTGGGACAATGGTGCAGTGCCCATGCTGAGGTCGTTAATTCACTCCAAACATGCCATGATCTCTGAGGGTAGTGCCTGTGCTTTGAAAAACCTATTAAATTTTCGCCCATCTGCTCAGAATACCAATCATTTGGATCCCATTGCAAGGTCTTTAAATTTGAAAAAATTACCAACATTGAATGTTCGCAAGCAGAAGGCTTTGGAGCAGGAATTGGGGGCAGCCTCCAAGAAACACAGTGAAACCTGTGATAATTTGGATACCGTGAATCCAAAAGATCGACCGACATATGATGCCACCGCACCGAGTGGTTCAAGTGGATCATCATCGGTTTTGCAAAGACATCGCTTTCCATTACATGCCGGGGCCTTGGGATCCATGGTAATGGGCGGGGGTGGGGGCATTGGGGCATCGGTATCTGGCCGTCTAACACGCTCAGCAATGCTTACCAAAAGTGAAAGCCGCGATTCAGTATTCTCTGCTAAATCGGATGGCGTTGTCTACGATCAACTAATGAGATCTCATTCGGCATCTGATGCCAATCGTAAATTGCATCATTCATCTGTGGTGAGGCCACCTCCATCGGCCAGTGCAGTTTATGCTCTACCCCGGGATGTTGAACCGGCCGAGGAACAACCAATTGATTATTCACAAAAATATACCGAACACATTAGCAAACATGGCACCTCCAGAGAAGACCCGGAAAATGATGCAGCTACATATCAGGAAACCGATTTGGATCAACCAACAGATTTTAGTCTACGCTATGCTGAAAATCAATTGGAATCCGATATAGATTTATCACCACCTTCCGGACAAAATGATAATGAAGGACAAGAGAAACTGAACCCAACAAATTCGTCTAATGGTCCAACTCGGCCCAAAACTCAGACAGAAGGCAGTGAAATTTTACTAATATTGGAGGATAGTGTCAAATGTTATCAAACCGAAGATACACCCTATGTTATATCAAATGCAGCTTCCGTAACCGATCTGAGATCGGTACAAACCTCAGATAAAAATGGAGAAAATGATTTGCCATCGGGCATAGAGAGTTCAGAAACACCAGCTTCAAACGGAGGTAGTGGTGGTGGTGGTGTTGGGGGTCATATTCCCTCTCGTAAATTTAGTAGAGGTCCTCATCAACAACCATCTGTTCACAATTCAAATCCATATGGTTCAGGATCGTATACACCTGAAAAGCCGGTAAATTATTGTGAAGAAGGTACTCCGGGGTATTTCAGTCGTTATGAATCCTTGAGCAGCTTAGATGAATCACCACCTCAACCGGAACACAACGAAGCCAAAGACAGGCATGAAGTATCCAATGCCAAGACCACAAACCGAGGTCAAGAAGAAGAAGACGACACAGAATGTGTTTTAAAGCAACAGCTAGACAACGAGCCGGAAGTGAAAACAAATTCTCCTCCTGAGCCACCAACATCTTCCACTCTGGTTGGTCCAGCTCAACCACAAATTAATTCAGCCCTGGAAACACCGCTAATGTTTTCACGACGTTCATCAATGGACTCCTTGGCGGAGGAAGATGTTGGGCCGTTGGATGACAAAAGTTCAGTGGTTAGTGATTTTAGTCGTTTGGCTAGCGGTGTAATATCACCCTCCGAGATACCGGATTCACCCACACAAAGTATGCCGCAATCGCCACGTAGGAACTCCAATACCAGTAACAGCCAGATGCAAGCATGTTTCTCTGGCGGTGCTTCTCCCAATGTCCCAAGAACATCACAACAAATGCGTTCGGGAGACAATGGCAAACGGTGTCTACGTAGTGTCTTCGAAGATGATATCAGTACATTTCATGTTGAAAACACCCCTGCCCAATTCTCAACTGCCACCAGTTTGAGTAACCTCTCAATGATGGACGACGAAGCGTCATCCACAAATCAATCACCACCCCAAGCTCAACCAACAGCTGCCACAACAACCAACACCATATCGGAGGGTGAAGAGGAGGAAGACGGCAACACGAATAACAACGATGATTTGTTGTTGGCTTCGTGTATAAATATGGGTATGAACCGAGCTGCGGCACCCTCAATGTATTCCCAGCACAATGACGACAATAGATCTTCGATCAATAATCCGGTAAGTTCGATGATGGCTCAAGATGAACCCAAACAATATTATACGGAGGATACACCGGCCTTGCTGTCCAAAGTTGGTAGTAATACAAATCTATCGGCCATATCGTTGGGTTCCAGCAACAATGATGCTAAAGATGACACTGTCTATGAGACAATAAGTAACTCTGTTTCGCGGAATCATCAGCAAGCAATAAATAGGCGATCCCTAAATTTATCCGATGATATGTCATCGAATGCTTCGGAAAGTGGTGCTGCTGCTGGTATTGATATTCTGCAGCAATGTATCCGAGAGGGTATGCAAAAATCCTCTTCAGCCAAAGAGAAACCTAAAATATCAGCTCAACCAGTCGGCAGTAATCATGGGCATCCATCATTACCACAAAATGCCACCACCAATGTAATGGATCCCATTGCCATGCTGAGACGAGGAGGCAATGTCCTACCACCGTATCTAACGGGCAATGATGAAATGAGTAAATACCGCGTTGAAGATAGTCCATGTAATTTCTCCGTAATGTCTGGTCTCTCCAATCTAACTGTTGGATCTAGTCTTGTGGGACCTGCCTTACTTTTGCAAGGTGGAACAGCTGCTGGTGCAAGGTAAGTTTGAAAAAGGATAATATTTTTGGGCAACTGACATTTAAAATCTGTTTTTCATTCTGCACAGCCCTATGGGAAATAACAGCAATGAAAATAATCCTATGAGAGTCGCACCAAATAGCAACAATTTCCAAATGCGTGCCGACAACAAACCCTTACTAAGTGCAGTTGCAGAGGATGCTCGCAGGGAACCACAGTGGCAAGATGATTCTTTGAGTTCTCTCTCAATTGAATCTGAAGATGATACCAATCTGTTAAGTCAGGTAATTCGATTGTCTATTCACTTTAAATTGATTTTATTTTGCTAAAATCTTGTATTTCAACCCTTCCTTTACAGGCTATTGCCGCTGGTTGCAATAGACCAAAATCGAATTTGGGTTTTACCACAAATTTGACTTCTACGGGTAATCACAAGACCACCCCATCATTATCATCTTCACAACCCATACCCATCAATGCAGCTACCTCAGCATCCTCTCTGACATCCCAAACAACTGCCCGCCAGTTTGAAAAGCCAATTCAGCAGTCCAACAATGGTGCAAAACAAAATTACGGTCCCATAATGGCAGGAAATGAATCATATAGCTCCGTAGATTCCAGTGACTCCAATGACAACCAATCGAAATCGCTATTTGAGTTGTGCATTCTCACGGGAATGCATAAGAATCGTGATAGCAATATGGGTGGTGGTAGCAGTTCTTCGTCACGAAAACACACACGCAGTTCCCATTCTCATCGAACTCACAAGAATGGTCAGAACGATCAAAACACCACCCAATCAAATCCCAATTTAAAGCAGTTTGATTCTCTGCCAATCCAGGGAAAACAATTGACACCAAATCGTCATGTCCGCGAACGTGATCGAAGGGATGAAAAACTCTTGATGGAATGCATCAATACCGGAATCATGAAAAAGATTGGTGAATCCCACAACAAACAACAAAATCCTCCCTCGTTATTGACCCGTGAGGCTCTCGTTTTGCACAACAATCAGCCAAAAAACGGGCAGGCTACGTCTGCAGCTGCTCAAATGGAGGAACTAATTCGCCCACAAAGTGCCAAATCCATGGACAACTCCAGTTTGTCCACATCTACCAGCATCAACACCACCACCACCATCACAGCAGCTCCAGACGTAGAGAAGACCGACAACATTTCGAACCAACTACCGCAGCAACAGATCACCAACAACAGCATCACCATCAGTCCCGGCGTAGACACAAACGATCAAAGAAATCCCTTCAGCTCAGTGGTGGGGGCGGAACAACAGAATCCAGTAGTTCCCAACGACGTAAATCTTCCAAATCACGAGAACGTTCCCGGGATAATGAACGGTATTGGGTGTAAATCTGAGGAATTGGAGGACGCCCATAACGTCCAAAGTGATGAATCTAATCAATCTTTCATTATGGAGACCACAGTCTCATTGGAATCAAGAGTGAATGATAAACCTCAGGAAAATGAAAAACACAAAGATCCCGATTTAATGTTAAAATCGGTCGAAAGATTAACCCTTGAGTTTGTCTCTTCGGCTGAACAGTTGAGAACCAACAGTAGTGGTCCTACCCATCATAGTCACAATTTTGTACAAGCCACAGTGACAACGGATAGTTCTGGCGGCAATGATTGCACAACAACGGCATCAATTTCCAATGACACTTGGGATGAAGACACTTGCCCTAATGATGTAAGTTTTCCCAGTGTTAGTATGTCGGTACCCAAAATTGTCTCCATCACCTATGACGAAGATGATGAAGATCAAGCCACCACGGCTGATTACAAGGAGCTAAATGATTTTGCAGAGAATACACCGAATATTGATGAATTGCCGGCACCGGATTTATCTTTAGATTTCGATAATATTGGTGTACAACAGGCAAATGGCAATGGTGGTTATAACTATGATTCTCAGCCGTCATCCATTGATTGTTATACCGACAAAACTTTGGTAAATGAAAGGAGCGGGGATGTATCGGATAAAACCCAAATAGATGGTAAACAGACAGATAAACACGAATCGGCAACATCTGAAAATTCTTCCTGTGGCCTGAATTTCAAATTGGGTGGTATTGTGCAGACTGCGGCCGCTGCTCCTTCGTTGTGTTTCAATGTCAGTGCAATGACAAATTCTACCTTCATAGCCCAAGAGGCTAGAAAACTGGCCAATAACCTACAGGCTGCAGACACTGATTGTGAGGAAGAGTTAACCTTTAGCATTAATAGCCTGGATTTGGACAATATTCGACCACCATCCGGAATGGATTCATTGAATATTTCTGGCTATTATCAAGATACCCATACACAACCGAATTCACTGCAAAATTCTCCGCAAATGCATTTCAAGTCTCCGAAATTCCCGCGCAAAACATTACCTGCTGGTTTGGTAGCACGCAGAGCATTGGGTCAAATGCCTCCACATCTTAGCGGAAGTGCGGAGTCGGTTAATTCTTCGTGCAACTTGTTACTGGATAACATAAAACCGCCCAGCTTAATGGACGAACTGTTGGACTCGATGATAAGTGTCTCCAGCATACAATCTGAAATTGCCGACGATTGTGCCAGCATGGCCACAACCGTGACGGTGTCAAATTATGAAACAGCTAATGGGGGTGGTGTAACATTGGGCGGTGAGGATGGTGACACCATAACATTGCGGAGCTACAGTGAAGATCAATTGCCACGCGATGATGACCAACATACCTATAACGATGGAAATATTACACCATTACCATCCGATTATGATTTCAGTTCAGCGGAAAGTACACCAAAGAAATCCTACACATCGTCTCCTGGCTTGGGAATAAGAAATCTAACACCAAAACAGAAACGACAAGTTGTTAAAGATCGTTATCGTACCTATACCATTGATGGGGAAATGAGCGAAGAGTTGAGAAGAAAAATTGAGGAGGCGCAAAAAGATGAGACGCTACAAATTGAGATAACCAACTATGAGACCAACAGCAACACCTTAGAGAATGGAAAGTGCAACGGCGGTGATGGTGATGATGAACAAAAACAAGAGAATGATTTACAAAATACACCACGCAGCCGAAGAAGATCTAGTCAGGAACGTTATAGAACTCAAACTATAAGCTATTCTGATTTGCAGGCCCATTTAAAACAAGAAGCCAATTCCACAGATATAACCTCAACCTCAAATTATAGATTTACACACACAACCAGTGATACTGTGTTGTCAACCGATCAGACCGAATTGAACACTAAATTGGATCAAGATCTAACAAGTTTGGAATATGATCAGAATTCTGAAACAGAATCATGTCATAACTATGATACAAAACCGCATGTCTTGACAGATTGTGAAGAAGAACAAGAGCCAGATGATCCAGAAACGGAAACAATAGAAGTGATTAGACCAAGGATTGTTATACCCGGTGAAAAAAATGCGAGCCATAATGATGCTAATGCGGAAAATGGCGAAGAGGAACAATCCTCGCCGGTGAAGGCGATTCGGGGAGGTAAGAAGCCACAATATGTCTCTCCCTATAGTATGAAGTTTCAAAAAACCAGTGAGCCAAGTAAACCGGTGAAAGCACAAGCGACAACACCTGCTACAGCAACAAAACCAAATTTGCAGTTAAGAAAACCCAATGGAACTTCTGTTGTGGCTGCTAATACCAAATTGGCCCAAAAGAAACCTCTAAAGGATGCTGCAGTTAAAGAGAAAACCACAAACGAGGTGGCAAAGGAAGTACCACCGCCCGCCCCGCTGGAACGTCAAGGCACCTTTGTCAAAGATGAACCATCCGTGGATGCCTCCACAGTGCCAGTAGTTGAAACTAGTCCCAAAAAATCCAAACTTTCAAAGCTGCCAATGAAACGCCAATTGTCTACACCCAGCAGCAATACATCACCGCAAAAAACCGCCAGTACACGAAAGCTCCCAACATCAGCCAATTCCGCTTTATCTGTAACAAATAATCGCAGAACTTTCGGTGGTTCCATAACAAAACCTCAAAGGGCAAACAGTAATGTCAATATAAGGGTAACAACCAATGCTGCACGCATTGCCGTATTGTCGACAAGGGTTTCAACCACTACTCCACCATCGCGTAGCAATTCAACATTGAATTCGGCAAATGCGGCTGTTACTGCAGCACAAAATGCTGCGGCAAAAATTAATCAAGCCCAATCGCGTATTGCCGGGATTTGGCGTAGGGTGGATGAGGCAAAGAATAAACAACAAACAACAACGACAAAAGCAACAAACAAAGGATCTCAATTAAGTGGAAAGACAGCAAACGCGACAAACACGACTACACCACAACCTGGTACGTTGGTACGTAGTACAACATTTGATAATTCACCACCATTGACGGTAATAAAACCCAAAGCTGGCGTGGCAAGTTCGGCTGCTGCTGCTGGGAAATCAAATGGATCGGCATCAACAAAAATTGCCATGGCACAAAGACAAATATTGGGTATAAGAAAATAATTTCAAAACTAAGGCAAAAGAAAAATAGGGATAATTTTGGTATTTTAAAAATCAATAGAGTGAAATATGAAATAACTGTATTTGCATTTGGACTGGAAGCCAATAATAATAATGTCAACTTCTTTGTTTGAATGTAATAAGCAAATGATGATTAATTGAAAGAAACACAAATTGTTATAATATTTATTGTTAAACGAATATTTCATATTAATCACGATTGCATTGCAAACATGTGGTCACAACGAAAAGTATTTTATGTGCGAAAGTAATTACATTATATGCCGTTTTCAAATATTATTAAATTGGACACATATTCATTTGTAACATTTTAAATTGTAATTTTCAGATTTTTAACTATCCAAAATTTTTAACAAATTGTAAACGTAATAATAAGACTTTTATAAAATATACAATGTTCTACATTAGAATCAATTCCACGGAAAATATTATAACTGCTGCTAACGAATAGGAGATACCGATTTTTTCTTAACGATCATCGTGTTCAACACTAAAAATGATTCATTTTTCGAAAAATTGGATTTGGATAGGATTTCTACATTAAAATTTGCAAATTTTATATTAATTGTCACTGTTTTTTTAACACTAAGAAAATTGAAAATTCATTTAACGAAATATTTTGATTTTTCCGTTGTTTGGATTTGCCTGGCCTAATTATAAGGACTATCAAAAGGAGAATTCATGACATGTTGAAAAATATTGCAATCGCTTCAAATAATTATTCTGACTTCCCAGATATAACCTCAATGTTTTCCAAATTAAAAATATCATTGTTTGAAATTTAGATTTTTATTCCGTAGTTTTTAAAGAAAACATTTGAATTAGAAAATATTGATATAACCGCTAAAAATGTAAACAATATTGTGGGCAAAGACGGCAAAGAAAAATTCCAAACATTTCATATATCTCAATTTATTGAAAATAGAAAATTCTAAATTAGCAGTTTTGAATACATTAATGAATTTTTAAGTAGGATTAATTTGGAACTGATTTCCATAATATAACCTCCATGGTTTTGTAGTAAATATTTTGATTGCATTAAAATCTGAATTTATATAACCGGTGAAATATTCTAAAAAAATCCCAGATATAACCTCAAAGTTTTCAATTTTTTTTCTTTTTTGATTAATTTTGATTATAGAAAGTATAGATTCAACTGATTTCATATATGTAGCCACTATGGTTTTAAGGTAAATAATTGAATTGGAAAATATTCAGAATTTATATAAACGGAGATAACAAAAAAATGACAAAGAGAAATGCCAGACATAACCTCAATGTATTAAAATCAAAATAGAAATGTTTAATTAATTTTCAAAGGGTAAAATATACTGCCTAAGGTTTAAGAGTAACAATTTGGATTTCGAAGTTTATAACCGGGGGAAATTTAAATAATATTGATGCCAAAAAGGACAAAGAAAAGTTCCAACTTCCCAGACATAACCTCAATTAAAAAAAAAATTAAAATCAAAAATTAAAAAATTAAGTATTTGCTTAATTTTGATAGTTGAAAGAAAATCTTCAACTGATTTCTGAAATATTTAAAGCAATATTCTGATTAAAAAATATTAGCGATTAATAAAAAATTCAACTTCCCACATATAACTTCAATGTTTTTTTTTTAATTATTCAAATTAAAATTGAAAATTTTGAATGCGGAAAGTAAGGATACCTGGAAAAAAACTGGAAATTTTTCTTTGTTGGGCGATTATCAAAAGCTATTACCACAATTCGACCACAGATTACATTTCAAAAATATCAAGACCATGATCATAATAGAAGTAGAGTGGTTCTACAAAAAATATACCCAAATCTGAAGACAAAAACTATTAAGCAGAATTCTAAATACTTTTCGAGATATAAGAGTATCTCTTTGTTTGCGTCAAAGGCAATAGAAACTAAATCCTATTCTGAACTATCATTTTACAAAACCTGTTCTTGCAATGTAATTTTTCATAGAAAAATAATGAAATATTGTTTCGAAAATAATTCACTACGGACATAAGTGAAATTTCAAGGGGCACATGATCCCTCAGCACATACACCTGGACATTGCTTAGTGCAATCGAAAATTGAAAGACCACCAAATAATTACCCTATAATTCCTCCCGTTAAAATATTAACAAAAAACAAATAAAAATCTTTAAATGGTTACTAAATGAGTGTGGTAGTAGAGTATGTGTGTGTGTGAATATAACACATAATACATATACAAATTTATATATCTAACTACAAAACATACATATTATATGCAACGCACATTTTTATTAAAATGACAACAACAACAAGAAATTTATAACTCAAAAACAAAAATGAAAAGACTTGGATATAGTAAAGACACAAAAATATAGAAAAAAACGTTTAATGTGAAACACTATATAAACAGAGAATTAAGGCAGTCTAGGGTAGGATCTAATATAAAACTTTTTAACCAACAACAAAATAAAACAAAAATATTATCAACAACAAAATCAAAACAAAATATATCTATTGAGTCCCTATAAATCCACCCATTAAGGCCTTCAAAAAAAAAAAAAAAACATTTGCTATTCAAAAGAAACCAAAACTTGATTGGTAAAGTCCTCCTAACAAAATGCTAGAAACAGAGAAAAACATGGAATCCTAACATAAACAAATTTAGAAGTATTATATTAATATAATTAAAAAAAAAACAAAATATGTAACTTGTAGATTTATAATATAAATGTAGAAATTGTGGAACTATATATACATAACCGCCTCAATAATTAGATCTGTTTTTTGAGGCAATTTTCTTTCCACACCGACAAAAACGAACTAAAACAAAATATAAAATAAACTTGAAAACAATAAAGTCACATAGGAAGATATTTCTTTGAAACTTCAGCCAAATGTATTTAAAAAATTTAATTTTTTTATTAATTAATTATTAATGTTATTATTACAAATTTGATTACAGCAACAAAATACTACTTAATAAAATGGAAACGAAAAGATTTATTATCATCATCACACACAATACACACAAAGTGGTAGGCAACATTATTAGATTTAGTATTCCATTTTTATTCACATTATTTACCGTTTTAATTTATAGGTTTCACCAAAAAAAAAAAAAAACAAAAAAGATTTTAAAAGTCTGTTTTCTGTTACTAAATTGTTCTATACCAAAAAACAAAAAGTAAAATGCACTCGTTTTTTAATTTATTTTATTTTGCCCATATTCATTTTCATTTATTCACAAAATCATCCATATCATTTGAAATTATTATTAATATGTTTATTCTTCTTGGGTATTTTTTTTATAAAAATTAGGTATTTAAGTATTTAGTTTTCTGTTTAGATTTTTCTTCTGGCATTAAATATAAAAAGTATTTTTATTAAATTACACATATATCTATATATATTTAATTAGACTATAACAACAACAACAATGAAAAAGTGAAATTATATAAAATAAATGAAAATGATTTGCTTATTATGAAATCTATTTGTGAAATGTTGTTTTATTTTATTAACTAAAAACCAGCAAGAAAAGGACCAAGTAGAGGACACCCGTCTTTTATAAATTTTGGGGAATTGGAAAATATGAACTCCCAAGTAAACAAGAATTTCAGCATCGTACTAAAATTATATAATAAAAATCAACCCTAGGGTGTTACTCTGTAATGCGTTGCGAAAGCTCTGGTTCGCAACCTTCTTGTTCTTTCTATGGGGATGATAGGGGACTCTCTTTTCGTGCTGTCACGATTGATGAAATGTTTGATGTATTCTCCCTAATAAAGTCGAAAGCTGTGAGGCATGATGGCTTGACTCTTAAATTACTAAAAATCATGTTACCTCTTGTGGGTAGCCATATTCTTGTTAATGTTGTTAATACTATGATTATGACCTCTTGTTTTCCATCCCAGTGGAAAATAGGCAAAATGATTTCAGGCCAATATCAATTATACCAATTCTTTCCAAAATGAAAAGGCAGATCATGGAGCATATATCATATCCCCTTTTGCTACATGATGCCCAATATGGGTTTAGGCGTGAAAGAAATACGACTTCGCTCCTGGTAGGTCTTACAGATAGCATTCGACAAGTTGTCAGCAACGAGGAATATTGTATGCTTCTTTCAATTGATTTAGAAAAATCTTTTGATAGGTTTGATCATGAATTGTTGATTGTTAAGTTGTGTAGTCACTTCGGATTTTCTAAAACAGCATGTTTGTTAATAAAATACTACCTAGAGGAAAGATTTCAATATGTGGTCGCTAGTGGCAAACAATCTAATCTTTTAACTGTTACTAGTGGTGTTCCTCAGGGGTCAGTGCTTGGTCCACTACTATTTATAATGTTTATAAATGATTTTTTTGATTTGGTCATTTCCAACAATTGTCAGCCCTTTTCATTTGCTGATGATATTCAATTACTGTTTAAGTGCGATGGTGCATTCCCTGATGTTATGCAAAGTGCTGTGTCGTTTGCTATCTCTACAATGAATAATTGGATGTCACTCGACAATTTATTCGGTAAATCCGTATAAAACGAAAGTATTAAAGTTTGGTCCCCGTGGTGGGGTTGAAGTAATAGTCAAGTTCGGTAACATTGAAATTGAATTTGTGGAGAGCATTAGATGTCTTGGTGTTGTACTGGACAGGGTATTGTTGTTTGAGTGTCATGTTAACTTGTTGGTTTCTAAGATAAATTACATGTTGAGGAAGCTTTATAGTTCTGAGCTTTGTCTTGTTGTTGAAATGAGGAAATGCATTGTGAAAATGTTAATTATGCCACTAATATTATACTGCATTGAAGTTTTTTCAGGGACATTTGGTTATGTTATCAGGAAGCTGCAGATCGCTTTTAATAGAGTGATGAGGTATATATACTCATTAAAGTTTTGACAACATGTTACCCCATTTGTCATAGACTTCCTCGGCAGTACTTTTGCTGATTTCATTAGACTTCGGTTCATGCTGCTTTTTTATAAATGTTATAATAAGCAAGATCAGTTG